TGTTAGCTGGCGTGCTCAAATTTTCCTGGTCCTTTCAATGACTAGGTTGTTAGAAAAGTTTTCAAACAATGCATTTAGACAAACTTTGCTAAGACGAAAATGTCAGATAGGGCCGACATTACGTCGAACAGACGAAAGCAAGCTCTACGGATCATACTAAGCAAGAGCTTAATCAATGATTCGTATGAAGATTGAGGCCACTTTTTGAACATAGATTTTTGACCGAGAGCAAAAGGAAACATATCCAGGAAATGAATCAATTTGCTCAACTCAGTTAATGCGTAGGGTGAGTAGAGTTTCATGAATTGTCTTGGAACCTTATCGTAAGGTGCAAATCGAATAAGGTGGCCGTAAAACGCTGTAAATGGCATTAAGTTGCTTATCAGTTGTTTCACTCTGATGCTGATCCTAACTATATTGGGTAAGTGTGTTCAAGAAATATTGCGCACCATAAACTTTTTTGTTTCAAAAAATTTTCATCGCTAAGTAAAGGTGCAGTTGGAACATGCCTTGATAACGTAATACCTAGAAAGCTAAGGAGAAACGCTATTGGAAAATCGTAAGTAGGAATATGTTGAGAAAGAAAATTTTCCCTTTCAGCTGCGTCTTTGCTGAGATGTTTCTCCCAACCAGATTCTGCCGGAACCAAGTTCATCTTCGGTTACATTCGAGATGCTGATCGAGTTATTTCCAACCAGTTGCTATCAGTTACAGGTAAGAATCCAACAATACAACTATATCATGCTATCGCCATTTTTAGGACTTTCGTATCGATCTTATCGTAACTAGTCTTGAGCAATTCTTCATCTTATTTTCCTTTTCGAGCCTGATAGTAATAATATGTACAACGAACATAAGGGCTGTATATATACGATACGATGAGTTAATGCGAATTTTTTGTTCATGAAGGCGATTGGTTTATACTCAAAATGTTTTAGTCAAAGCATATACAATCTTATGTCATATTTAATAGATTTCATATTTGCGCGTTGCAATTTTTTGAAATCAACGACTTCCACAGTTGCAAAGCTGAAC